TTCCAACCCCGTAGCACTATGACAAGGTACTCAGAGATCACAGACAGAAAAGGCTCAGCAAGGAGCCCAGAACATAGCAATACCGAGGGAGAGGGCGAGATGGGGGTGGGGAGTGGGGGTGCACACCCCTGGCTCTTTCCTTCAGAGATTTTTTTAATTCGGATGTAATTCACATGCCATACAGTTCGCTGCCATGAAGTGTACAATTCAGTGGTTTTTAGTGTCTTCTCAGCGTTGTGTGACCATCACCCCTGAGTCTACAACATTCTCATCACCACAAACAGAAACCCCACGCTCCTTGGCCATCATCTCCAAAGCCCCTCCCCAACCCCAGCTGGAGTCGACACTAATCTGCTCTCTGGCTCCATGAATTTGCCTGTTCTGGACATTTCCTACCTGTGAAATCATTCTACACGGGGCCCCCTGTCTGGCTTCCTTCACTGAACATGTTTTCAGGCCGCATCCAGGCCGTAGCAGGTGCCGGCACCTTGTTCCCCATGACGGCTGAGTGGTACTCCACCGTGTGGATGGCCCCGATCTGTGCGCCTGCTTGTCCGCTGCTGGACACCAGGGCCATTTCCATTTCTCGGCCGCCACGCATCCTGCTGCTGTGAGCACCTACGTACAAGCTTCGGGGGATATAGGAGCTTCGGTTCTCTTCAACGGACACCTAGGAGCAGGAATGCTGGCTCCCACCGTGACTCCACAGTGAACCCTCCCAGGGGCCGGCAGATTGCTCTCCGAAGTGCCACTGTCTACAGCCCGCCAGCAGCGCGCCAGGGCTCCAGTCTCTGCACAAGGTCTCCAACATGCAGCACGACCCGTGTTTGGTGACAGACATCCCAGTGGCTGTGGAGTGCTAGCTCAGTGCGGTTTGATCTGGGTTTCCCCAAAAGCCAGACGCATCTTTTCATGTGCTCACCAGTCATCCGTGTCTTCACGGGAGACAGGTCTGCTCAGATCCCTCACCATTTTCTAATCAGGTCCTGCACCCAGTTAGCATTGACAGTATATACGAAGCTCTCCATTCAGATCTGGCTGCAGGCCCCTCATCACATAAACAGCTTGCACATGCTCCCCCGTGCAGGTGGGCGCACCCCGTAAGTGGCCGCCCTCACCACTCGCCGGCACCGCGGGGCTGGCCCTCTGGGTGTTCCGGTGTCGGTCCCCTCACGTCCCCAGTGTGCAGGTGCAGCCAAGCCTCCCCACTCACCTCCTGCCCAGCTGGGGCCAACCACACAAGAAGGCAGCATGTGCCCCCGTCTACAGCTCTGTGTCCTATTGGGAAACCACTGCTATTTGTGCATTTATTTAGGCCCCGAAGTGCAAGTGCAGGCCAGCCGCGCCGTGCGGCACAGGAACGTGCGGGTGAGAGCAGCTGGCACGCAGGACGCCCCGACCCTCCCGCGACCCATCTCCAGCCAACAGCCACTGTTCGTGCCGCTTCCATCTTGGACCCTTCATGTCATTCCCCTCTTCCTGCCTCTCCCACACCTCCATCACCTTGAGCCTCAGAGACCCCCGCGGGCTGTCCCCGTCTGGCACACACTCCCTCAGACCTTCAATGTCACCTACGCCGGGGGTCCGTCCAGGCAGCACCTCCAAACCAGCCCGTTCCATCATCCATGTCTTCGGTTTCACATCGGCTCGAATGTAATAACTGAACCTCAGAGAGTCCAGGCACAGGGTCCAGCACGCAGCAGCCAGGCTCTCTGTCTCATGAGGGCTCAGAGAGGGGACGCTCTGTGGCCGGGCCAGTCCTCAAGGCACCAACACATGCAGCACGTGCAGCCTGACACGTTACACACACGCCAGGTCCAACAGTCTGCTCCCCGATGCCCACCTCCCCTCACACCCGTGCAGATGGTGGGGGCCTCGCCCCCCTAGTCTCCCTCACTCCTCCCTGTCACTTAGGGGTGAGGCCCTAAGTACCCCCAGGTGACAAAAGACCCTAAGGTCCTGATACTTCCATCCGCGAACCAAGTCCCCACTGACTTCCTGCTCCAAACCTAGTCCTATAGACCAGCAGCAAAAAACTGGCAGCTCACGTCCGAGAAGGGCTTGGCCGAAGCAGCCACACCTGACCCTGATCAACAGACCACAGCTGGAGGAGCATGGTCACATCTAGACCTTTCTTCAGTGACCAACATTCTACCTCTGTGCGGTCCTGTCCTGCACAGGAGCCACTGGCCACAGCACCTCCAGGGTACTTGAAATGTGGCTTGCCACACAACACAGCTCTGGACCAACTATCAAACTACAGGAAACGGAGGGCAGTGGGACACACTAGATGTCACCATGCAGGTGACAGAGGGGCCATTCAAGCCCAGACCGCGTCGGGGCCACTTTCAACAAGCTGCACGAGGAAGGAAAGAGGTGTGGGAATGCGGCTACCTTGTCAGAAGACAGAAGACAGTAATTGCATTGTGTGGACCTTACCTGCATCCTAGTTCAAATGACTAAAAAAAAAAAAAACAGAGACAATCAAACACCTAAAACCCTGGCCACATACTGGAATCCGGGAAGCACCCACTGCCTTAGGGGAGACCACGGCGTGGCCATCCACTCCAAAATGCTTATACATCAAAGAACAGGACAGCTGGAATCTGGTTCAAAATCAGGCAGAGTTGGGAGTGTGGAGGGCAGGGCAGAGGGTGACGGGTCTATGAGGTTCAGCACCCAACTTTGCCTACTTCTGTGCGTGTTCAAACTGTCCACGATAAAGCTGTAAAAGCAGGACCAAAGCAACTTTGCAAGTGACGTCACCTTTCTCAGGCCACCCCCCAGCAGCACCGTCTCACCCACGAGAGGCTGGGAGTCAGAACGCCCAGGCCATCCCGTGGTCCAGAGTCCCCTGGGGGCCAGCCTCGGTCCTTAAACCCAGGTCCGGCCCTGCTGCACCTCAGGCTGTATGAGGAGACTCATGGAGGGGTGGCCGCGGGACCAGTGACAGAGGTACCGGGCACGAATCGCTGGCCCCTGGGCACACACACCCTCACCCAGGAGGCTCCCGGCCCCTCTCCCTGGGAGAAGAGAAGCCTCCACCATCTCCCTGTCCCCGAGCACGGGGCCTGCAGGGTTCACAGGCTGCTGGGGCAGCCAACAGAGCCCAGACGGCGGCCTGCGGAACCAGTGCGGAGCCCAGCTTCCCTCAGGCTCCTGGCCCCCAGCCTCCAGAAATCTCCCAGAGGCAGCTTCAGGGTGTAAAGATCAGCGTGGAACATCCTCTGCTCCCCATCCACCTGCTTCTCAGGCTCCCCTCGCAATCCCAGGAATCCTGTCAGGCTGGGCCAGCTCACCAGTTTCCAAGACCAGAGCTTAAGGGGACACACGCAAGAGGCTCCAGAGCCCGTGCCCCACTGCAGGGCCCCCGGTGACCCACCTCTACCACTGATTTCCTGCACAGCTCCTGGAGGCCAGGTCAGCACCGGGTGCTGGGGAAGCAGAGAATAACCAGAAGGAGCCACACCTGGCCTCAGCAGCAACCGGACTGGGGGGAACTTCACCCACGGCACCCAGAAACAAGAGCTGGGGTGAATCTGATCCAATGATGCAGGTGCCCCACCCCATCCAGCAGAGACAGCTGGGATGGGAACTTCTGCTTCAGTGACCAGGTGGCTAAGTGACAGGCTCCCACCTGACTCTGAGGCAACTGCTCTTCCCCCACCCCCAAGTCCAGCCAGCAAAGCCCCAAGGACATCCAGACCACCCAGGAGAAGTACCCATCCCTACTTCACCCATCTACCTGCCAACATCCAAACTCATCTGAACACTGGCCACGGGGTCCCCTAACGAAAGGAGGCCATGCACTGGAGGCACGAGGGAGTGTTACAGAACCTAATTCCCATCCCCAGGCTCCCCAGAGGATTCCCGCATGAGGCCAAGGACAGAGGGGAGTCCCAGCTTAGGGCCCTGAAAGTGCCCAAGAAATCCAAACAGGGCCACAGGAATGCAGATGAGCAGACCCTGAGCCTAGTCAGGGGACAACTGTCTGCAAATCCTGGTCCCCTGCACCCTTTCCATTCCACCTCCGGGTCTTGAGCACCTCAGGCAAACTCGGCCCTGCCGTGTGCTGGCCACTACTTCTTCTTGGGCAAGTCACACCACCTGAGTCCGAACGGAAACCTGACAAAAGCTCTTCCGCATTTTAGACCAGTCCCGGCAACCCCACCCCCCCACCGGCCCGAGGATAACACCGGAGCCTAGACAGGAGGGAGCACAGCCCACCTCCCCTCCCGCCCCACTCCTTCAAACTCCCCCTGCAGTTGCCACAGTGGGGTGTACCCTACACCCACACATGACCAAATGCAGCCTCCAGGCCTTGAACACACGGTTCCTTCCTCCCCGCCTCCCGCCTCCTCCTTAAGCGACAGTCCAATTCTTACACATCCTTCAAATCTCTGTCCAGACACCTCTTCCAGGAAGCCCGGCCCGCCATCCCAGACAGCTCTCTCTGCCGGCTTCCCGCTGCAGATGTCCCGGGTGCAGAGCGTGCCCCCCGGGCGGCGCCTATTAGTCTCTAATTAGCTTCTAACAATTTGCCGGTTCCCTCAGACGCGTCCCACCCGGCCCCCGCGCGCTGCCGCAGGTCCCCCGTTAACTCGCGACTGCAGAGCCCCGCCAGGTGGGATGTTTCTGCTTTCAGAGAAACCGGGATTTTTCTGCAGCGCCCTGGCCCCGGAGGGAGGGGGGGGGGCGGGGGGCTGAGGGCCGGCAGCGGTCCCGGGTTTTCCTTATTTAGTCGGGCCGACCTCACTGCGTTTGGAGCCTCGCCCTGGGAGAGGCCTGGCCCGCGCTGCGTTTCCCCTTCAGAGGCCGGGGACGCGCCCACGCCCTGCGAGGCCCGCCAGGCCGGCGGCCTGCCCGGCCCGGCCTCTCCCCGGAGCCGAGGGTGCAGGCGCGCCGAGGTCGCCCCACGCCCCGGGCGCCCCCGAGTCCCGGCGCCCGCCCGGCGCCATGGCAACCGCGCGGCCCGCGGCGCGGGGCGGCGGGTTACTCACAGCGCGGTGGCGTCGGCGGGGATGCGCAGCGCGGGTCCGAGCGTCCGCAGTCCGCGGCCGGAGCAGTTGACGCGGCAGGCGGCGCCGGGCGCCGGGCCGCACAGGCAGGGCGGCGCGCACGGCCCGCAGCCGCGCCCGGGGTCCCCCGCCAGCGCCCCGAGACACAGGCCCAGGCTCAGGGCGAGCGCCAGGCGGGCGGGCGCGGCGGGCGGCATCGTCAGGGCAGCGCGCGCATGGCCCCGGCCCGGCCCCGAGCCCCCGAGCCCGCCGGGCGCCGGCGGCCGCGGCTCAGGCGGGGCCCGCGGACGGCATGGCGGGGCGCGGGGCGGGATCCGGCGGCGGCCACGGCCTGTCTGCCTGCGCGACGCCCGCTCGGCGCTCGGGCCCGGCCGCACTCTGCGTCCACGGCCGGCCGGTCGCGCGCTCGCGCTGCAGTGCGGGCCCGCCGCCGCTCCTCCTCCTGCTCCTGGCTCGGCGCGGGGCGGGCGGGGGGGCGGGGCGTCCTCAGGCCCCGCCCCTCGCTCTGCAGGGCGGGCGCGCGCTCGGGGAGGTGGGCGGGGCGTCGCGCCGCCGCGCGCGCTTCTCCCTCGGGAGCGGCGGGGACCCGGCCTCCGCGCGGCCGCCCTCGCGCGCCCTCCAGCCTCGGCGCCCCGCCGCGGGGACGCCCCGCAGCCCTTCGCGGGGGCGAGCGTCGCCGCAGGGCGAACACCAGAGGTGGTAACTCTCGCGGACGCGGTCTTTGAGCGCCCGCTGCGCGCTCGCGCCCACTCCCCGCGCCTCCGTGCGTTTCCGTCTCGGCCGTATTCCGAGCGCCCGGCGCGGAGTAGGCGCCCGGCCCGTGCGCACCGCGTCCTCTCGCGGCGCCCCCCGGAGCGTCACGGAGGTGCCGCCCCAGGCGGGCCTCGGCTGGGCGGGGGCGCCGCGCTCGGCAGCCGGGACACCCCTGTCTACCAAATCTAAGAGCGAAGTCGATTTGTGGCTCTCCGGCTGGGGAGTGACTGCTAATGGGTATGGGGTTTCCTCCTGGGACGGGGAGGGCCTTCCGGAATTAGGTAGTGGCTGTGATTGCACAGCCTTGTAAATATACTAAAAACTACTGAGTTGTGCTCTTAAAAGGATAGCTTTTACGTTATGTACACTTTCAGCGAAGAAGTAATGAAATTGTTCCACCATCGGGCCATTGTGGACGCCTGGCTCTAGCTGGCAGAGCAGTCGCAGGGAGAAGTCCCTAGGCCCCTGCATGGTCGAGGTCCCTATCCCACCGTCCTGAGACCCGGTGCCAGACTGCATCCCAAGGCTCCCCGACCTCCTTTCTGTCGTCTGTCTCTCTGCTTAAAATAGCTGGAAACCTCAACTAGACACACAAGTCTGGGTCCATGTCCTGCTGCCTGTCACTGGAAGAGCCCAAGCAAGGTCGCTGTGGGGCACACTGCAGCTCTGCTGTTGCCCTGAGTGTGACGTGGCGCCCAAATCCCTCCCTCTCCTCATCCGTGGAATAGAAGTAGCGAGCCGTGTTTTAGGCCGGGGGGAAGATCACATCTAGCCCAGAGGCAGCTCTCAGGAAAGATCCAAGGATGAGCAGGTGGGGACCCGTGAGGCGGAGGCCAGGGATGAACAGGGAACAGGTAGCCTGCCGTGTCCGGAGGTCACATGACTCAGGAACAGGCAGAGGATCTCCCGGTGTCCTGGTGTCCTGGGGGCAGGAATGGCGCCCGTAGTCCAGCTCTGGCAGCTGTGGCCCATTCTCGGGGCTCAACTCCCACAAAGCCTTCTGTCTCCAACTTGGAGCCCTTTGGACCAATTCCCTACAGGGTACGGAGAGGGGCTTAAATTAGACCCAAGGGGAATAGGGAGGGACCGGAGGGCCTGTGAGCCCCTTGGGCCTCAGGAACGCTTTCATACAGAGTCACAGATGGAGTGCTTGGGAAGCCAGTTGGGAAACACTGGTGTGAGGGTCTAAGCTGAGGCGGGGTTGAAGGGATGAGGCAGGAGCCCTGGGGAGAGAAGGACGGGGCTCCAATGGCGCCTTATCTGGGGGCTGGGGTGGGTGGGCGTGCCCTCGGGGAGGACGGATGCGGAGGAAAAGATGAGGAGTAGGTTCTGGATGAGTGGTGCCCCAGGCCACTGGAGAAGGTGCCCAGAGTGCAACTGAAAGTGGCGGGTGGGGGGGGGAGGGCTGGGAGGGGTGAACAAACCTGGGGCAGATGAAAATCTCCAGCCCCATCCTAGAGGAGAAGAAAACGGGCTTGGGGGGAGTCTGAGCAAGAGGGCGCCAGAGAAATAGTAGGAAACTGAGGTACAGTGTGTGGAAGTTGAGGAAAGGCTACAGGGGAGAAGCGAGCGGGGGCTCGGGCTGCAGGGACAGAGGAAGGGCCAGGGAAGGTGCTGCCGCGCATCCCCCTCGGCCCACCCACGTGTACCCCCACTTGGGGCTTCCAGCACTCTCTACAGCCTCCCACCTCTCAGCCTTTCCCCATGTTGTTCCCTTTGCCTGGAATGCTTTTCCATCGCACCTCCACGATTACTTATGCTTGCAGAAATCAGCTCACGTGCCTCCTCCAACCTCCAAGAAGCTTCCCCAGCCCCTGCTTCATGTGCTGATTTGCATCACACACTCGGGGAACATGTATTTATGAGCTGCCTACTGCGGCCAGAACACTTGTCCCCATGGACGTCAGTGCCCCTAGTACTCAGGGTCACCCTGTCCCTCGATCCTGCCATGTCACCTGCACAAAGCTGAAGGCACAGTATTCACCCATGACCTTTACTGAGGGCACCTTGAGTGGAGGGGTTAGATAGCATGCCAGGTGCCAGCAGGTTGGTGGCAGGCAAGGGGGAGCACATGTGGCCCGTGGCCCATTGTTCCTAGATGCTTAGATGTCAGAGGGAAGAGAAGGGTACAGAGTAGTGGCAGAGGGTTTTTCTTACCGTGGGAGAGGCCGAGATGCGATTCCAGTCTCAGGAAGAGTACCAGCAGAGAGGGAGAGGGCACAGGAATCAGTGGTGGGAGCTTCCTAAAACAAAGAGGGGAGGAGACCCACGTTCTTCATTTCTGCACCCCTTCCTCCCCTGCCTCAGTCCATGGAGTCTTCACGGCTCCAGGAAGTGGCTGCTATCCTAGTCCCTTTATTAACTGGGGTGCCCGGCTGGCTCCGTCTATGGAGCATATCACTCTTGATCTAGGAGTCATGAGTTCGAGCCCCACATTCAGTGTAGAGATTGCAAAAAGAAAAGGAAAGGAAAGGGGAAAAAAAGAAAAGAAAAAAAACAAGTACATGAAGTCACTAAGCCACAGAGAGATTAAGAAATTTGCCAGGTCACACAGAGAGTAAGTGGCAGGACTGAGATTATATTTAACCCAAGCTTTTTAAAATTTTTTTCTTTTAATGTTTATTTTTGATCTTGAGAGAGCATGCAATGCAAATGGGGGAAGGGCAGAGAGAGAGAGGGAGACACAAAATCCAAAGCAGGCTCCAGGCTCTGAGCTGTCAGCACAGAACCCCATGTGGGGTTTGAACTCATGAACCACAAGATCATGATCTGAGCCGAAGTCGGAAGCTTAACTGATTGAGCCACCCAGGCGCCCCTCAAACCCAAATTTTTTTTTAATGTTTTTTTTTTTTTTTTTTTTTAACAAGAGAAAGAGAGAGAGAGACAGCGTGAGCAGGGGAGGGTCAGAGAGAGAGGGAGTCACAGACTCTGAAACAGGCTCCAGGCTCTGAGCTGGCTGTCCGCACAGAGCCGGACATGGGGCCCGAACCCACGAACCGCGAGATCATGACCTAAGCAAAAGTCGGACGCTTAGCCGACTAAGCCACCCAGGTGCCCCTCAAACCCAAATTTTTAATTCCAGTCAAATGACAAACTTGAGATAGGGAACCAGAGGCGAAAAATGAGAAAAACAGATTAATCGAGTCTAAATGATAGTTTGAAGGAGGTGGCAGAGTAAACACAATTGTTTCAAAGGATTTTGAAATACAAAAAACATGTTTAAGGAAGAAATTAATTATATGGAAATGAAATTCTAGACTATTTCAACAAACAGAGAAAATAAAATGGGCCAAAGGTTGGTTTGATTGAGAGGGGGCCATTGGAGAATTCTTTTTTTTTTTATGTTTGTTTATTAACTTTTGAGGCGGAGGAAGGACAGAGAGAGAAAGGGACAGACAGAATCCCACGTAGGCTCCAAGCTGTCAGCACAGACCCCAGCTTGGGGATTGAACCCAGGAACCCATGAGATCATGACCTAAGCCAAAACCAAGAGTTGATGCTTAACCGACTGAGCCACCCAGAAGCCTTTAATTCTTTAATTACTGATAAAACATAGGTTTTAAGGTGATTTTTTCTTACGTTCTTTTTTTTTTTTTTTAATTTAAGTAATCTCTACACCCAGTGTGGGGCTTAAACTCACAACCTCTAGATCAAGAGCTGCATTCTCTTCCAACTGAGCCAGCCAAGTCCCCCTTAAGGTTTTTAATGAGCAATTAATGATAACTGTTAGCATAAAAGGGAAAACTTGATGGGGGGGTACACAAGAAAACCTAATCAGCCCAGGAATGAATTACGAAAGGAAACAGTGGATCAATGTATTAATCAGAACAGGCAAAATAAGACCAAGCACATGGGTGACCATAATAAACGTGAATTTTGTTAAATTTCCCTGCTACAGAACAAGGATTCTCATAACGAGAAGGCATACTGAATCCACATAAATGTTGTTTTGAGGGACAGAGGTAAAAACAACAAACAAAAAGACAGGAGAATGAAAGCATAAAGACGAGAGGGTGGCAGTATTAATACGAAAACAACTAAAGCAAAAGATGATGGGGTGGAAAGCCATTTATTTTTGCACTAACTAAAGGTACAGTTTGTGTAGAATGTGTAATTAACCATTGGGTTGTCAAAAATAGAACATCAACACACACAGCTAAACTGTCGGAAATACACAAAATTATTATGGAAAACTTTGTTACACCTTCCTTTGATCTTCCTTTGATATCAAGCAGGCAATTTTGCCCCCAATCAGTAAAGGTAAAGAGGATTTGAACAGCACGGTTAGTAAGTTCTAGGTTATGGGACAGAATTTTGGCAAGATGAGAGGAAATGATTAGGCAAGCAAGGGGCCCCAGGCAACACTGTTGCCTGGAGATGCTTCAGGTCCCGTCACGGGCTCACCCCACCACATCTTGAGTGTGGTGGAGGTTCCCCTCAGCAC